TTTACCCAACGGTACAGTATTATGACCGCTACCCCATTGGCCACCCTGCTAAAATACATGCGCCTGAATCATACGACCCCTCGTGGTTTGGCCTAGTACATTGTCAAATACTGCCACCTACCAACTTATATCACCCAGTCCTACCTGTCAAAACTGACAAATTAATGTTTCCGTTGTGTAATCAATGCACCTTGGAAGACTGCGATAATTGTGATCATGATGACTCAGAACGGGCATTAAAAGGTACGTGGACGACTCTAGAGATCAATAAAGCCATAGAAAAGGGGTATAAAATGTTGGAAGTGTACGAGGTGTGGAATTTTGAGCAGACTTCTACGGATTTATTTAAGGGCTATGTAGAAGATTTTATGAAAATAAAATTAGAAACTAGTCCACATACATATGCCTCAAACGAAGAATACGCTCGGGTTGTAAAAGAACAAATGGGCATAGACTTAGACTTAGAGAAAATATCTCCAAATCGTGGTAAACGAGAAGTCGCTAAACTATGCTTGAATAGTCTATGGGGCAAGTTTGGACAAAGAATGAATATGAAACAGACAGAGTATGTTGTGGACCTCAAAAGATGGTTTGAGCTCTTGATGGATGATAAGATCAACATGACTAATGTGATCTTTATTAACGACCATATAGCCCAAGTCTCATATGATTACAAGGATGTGTTTGTGGAAGACCCCACATCTACAAATATTTTTGTGGCTTTATTTACGACAAGTAACGCTCGTCTAAGACTGTACGATATGCTTGATAGGCTAAGAGAGGCTGTAGCTTATTTCGACACAGACTCCGTTGTTTATATTGATGATGGCCTAAACACTGTCGAAACAGGTGAAATGTTAGGCGATTGGAGCGATGAGATTGGATCAGATGATTATATTGTAGAATGGCAGGCAACTGGTCCAAAAAGTTATTACTACAAAACAGCCAAGGACAAAGAAGTAACAAAAATTAAAGGCTTTACCTTAAATCACGAAAACAGCCTAGTACTCAATGCCTCAGCCATGAATGACATCATACGCGATCCAACCAAAGAAATTAAGCTCACATATGACCAGATATGTCGCGATGTCCACACTAAAGATATAGTGACGAAAAAAAGGGTATCAAAGACATTCAAGATGGACTACAAAAAGCGAAAAATTGTACATAATGATGAGTGTATGGATACGTTGCCTCTAGGTTTCAAGGCCTCTTAGATATATTTAACTCACACTGCGGAATCTCTTCATTCACAGTTGAACACTCATAGAGTACACACGTATCACAATGTGGTCGGTAAATGTTATAAACCAACGAGAAATTAAAAAAATTAATGCTCATCAGTGCACTTTTCAACTATGCTGTGAAAACTATGTAGGTGGTGGTCTTAATCAAGACTTAACGATATAAAAAAGCAAATTGGTTACAAAAAGGGTGACAGAATCCGTATTGTGGCGTTAAATGACAATTTCAATCATCCTATTTCGACATCAACTAGTGCAGATGTCAATATGGCAAAAATGTTAGAACAAATTGAAAATGTTGCCAGTTCCAATGCTTACATACAGCTTAAAGATACGAAATTCGACATTCAAATCTTAAAAATGCCTCGCTAATTACTTTTTATGTACAATGAAGTGCTTTGAAAATTATCATTCAAATTAAAAAACATCGACAATATTCAAAATTTCAGAATGTTATCTTATTTTCAATGTTAAAAAATTCTGCATTATTTACCATTTTAAAAAAATATTTCAGAGCTACTGTACTTTTGCATAGTCTGTATTTACATTTCCTTCCCACGCTTTGTTTACGAAGAATATCTACATATTTAAGTGTACAAATCCTTTTCGCTTTAATCCTTGATAACCTTCCCAAGAGCCAGTACATTTAGTCAGCGGTAGACTACCCCAAAGTAGTAGCCATTGAACTAAGGTCTGACCAAACCTCTGCATAATAAAAAATCTTAAAAGATGCTCAGTTAAATCACCAAAAGATATCTGTTATGAGTCACTGGCAAATTAATGAACCGTTCTTATTAAGTTAAGATCTAGTGTTCGTGCAGCCTCCTGATACAAAAGATACTCAACAGATCACTAAAAGATATTTAATGAGCCATACACTGTTTATATGTAATTTCTAAATAAACAAAGCGTGGATGGTAACAAAAATACTTACGACGTAGGCCTGTCTTATGTCTTTCTATGCTCTGTATATTGAGACATATGGCGGGGAATCTTAACGAGGCCTAAAACACCTCCAATACTTCAATATTCTCTGATATATCTACGAGTATGTCATTTAATGCTGAAGTATTGTCCCCTTTGGGTAGGGCCATGGAAAGAGGTGAAAATTTTTAAATAAGACATGCTTTTGATTAATGAAATATTGTATTTTTTTTCTGAATAAATAACAAACACATCTGTTAAAAATCAATATATTTTTTGTCTTATCATCTCTCTTTACTCTTAATGTAAAAACAATACTATTAGAAGATCGACAATTCTCAAACAAACAACAGGAAATTGTTATCTAACCGGTGAAAACGATAAATTTATTATTTTGTCCGCATATTGCACAAACTTATGACTTCTGATACTTATAAATAAATAAAAATAAAAACAATAAAATTTTACACATTTTTATATTCTTTTCTTTAAAGCAGAAAATTTACAATCATTTGCTTACCCCTAGTTATTCAGCGTCTAACGTTGTCAATTGTTGTTGTTGATTTCCAAATATTAATTACAGAGGGCACTGATGCTTCATGTTCGGCTTCTCATCTAAAATTATAAGTTTACATAATTTGTACAATGCTTGTACTGTGTAATATTTTTCTAGGTACTCATGTATTCTTTCTTTTACATTTAAAAACGTTTTTTATTAAGCAAATAGAGTGACATTGTTGCGCATGCTCATTAGACATTTGGGACATCTGCGTATTGGGCATTTTGCACAAAAAACCTTCGTAGACATTTTATTTACATACTTGATAAAAACCAGGCACATTTACGGTATTTGTTAAAAAATTAGGCATACTTAATGCAAAATAACAATATCTTACCTTAGTATCTGTATACTTCGTCTATTCCTGTCTCCCTTTACGCCTTAGTTTTTGACAATTTAGAACTTTTTTTTGATTTTATCCCTTTGGTATACTCTGTAAGCAAAAGTAAAACTGTTTTAATCTCTTAATTATTTTACCACGTTTTGAAATATTTTGCCGGTACAACCGCCATTTTGTACATGTCTATTAAGTCTACATTTTTTACATAATACATGCTAGCGCTTTTACCTTCCTTACGTTTTTGAATTGTTTGAATAATAATAATAGTTCTTATTACTTACCTCTGTTTTCTTCTGTTAATCCTTATTCTTGGTAGGTCCTTACAGGCATATAAATGTATATTTACATATTTTTTCACAAAATTTTTGCATTTTGTCACATTTTTCTGATTTTTTACACTATAATCTATAACACACATTTCTTTGAAAAATATTATTTAAAATGAAACGATGAAGTCTTCGCTGTTGTTCTACACCTAGATAACAGTTTGCGGTTTTGGCGATATCGCAACCTGCTTACAAGTTTATCAATTTCACGTGTTTTTCTACTATTTGCATTTTAATAAAAATAATATTTTGCGGCTTTCTGCATCGGTGATATCTGTAATCTTTACTAATTTGTAAATACATTCGTAATTTTTCATATTTTAAATACTCGATTCACAACATAATTCTTTACAACTAAAAACCACCTTGTTAAAAATAGTTTCTTTTTATCGTACTTTGAGTTTGCGGCATTTCTTTAACACACAAGTTTAAATAAAAATATATGTTTGCAATACCCATATCGACAACCTTGACATTACTATTCGCTTTTGCGTTATTCTCTGCGGTTTGTATTTACACGTTATATCAACACGTTGCTTCGTATATCCCGTTCTGACCATGACACAGGTGTTACAATTTTGATAAATACTTTGTTTTTTTTATACAGATTGTTGTTACTTGATTTTAAACGGCTCTGTGGCTTAGCGACGTGGATACTTAGCTTCGGTGGTGCTAGTCCCGAGTTCGAGTCCTACACAAGGAAGACTTTTTTATTTATTTAATAAATAATACTTTGATTAAAAACTGCCGAGTTTGCGGTCGGAATCTGGGGAAATTTGAGATACGGGGCTGGGGAAATTTGCCCTATTCTCCATAAGACCGGAACAGTTTTTCCCTAGATCTGGGTACAAAAAGTGGAGTAAAGTGGCTTACTTTCTACTCTCCTTCGATGGGTTCGTCTTCTTCTAAAAAAAAAAAACAGGGTTTCGTAGGCGTTTGCCTAAGCCTACGTGGTTCCGACCACTTCTCGGTGCAGTGACTCGGCCTACTTCGGGACTTCCATTGGCATCTGGAACTTCTAACTTTAAAGAAGCCTGGCACGTCAAAGGTGTCTGTACACTGAAGGTATCAGGTTTGTTGGTGGATTCATCCTTGTGCTTTCTGTGCAGGTGGACGTGGGTTCAAAAACTGTGTTGGTGCTATGTCGTCTCGGGATAACAAATAAGGGTCTAATCACTTTCTAAACGACGCTCTGTAGAGGGCTTTGAATAATGCAGTTGAATACTCCTCTACCCAAATCCATTTACTGGGTATGGACTCGTTAATATTTCTCTTCAGTGTCTTGCCTTGAAAAACGCAAGATGTTTCTTATATGACAAATGATTGTTAAAATAATAACACCAAACTGTAGTTGAATAATAATTATCAGAAACAGAGTATGGAAGTTACTAGTCCACAGACTATGGCACTCGATTTCACTACAATACTGATTTACCAGGGACTCTTGTTAAATATAAATTATAGACTCTTTATGAATAGGACGTTAACCAGAAACAATAAACTAAATTAAACGGCTCAATTAGATGTTAGTTAATATAAAGTCCACAAAAGCTACAGCATACACAATACACACATACATACACTAAATATTTTGATTTATCGTTAATATAATTTAACCATACCTTTAGTACTTTTTACTTCTTAGGTATACTCAAGCCAAAAACAATGGACACTTTCCTGAAGACTTTTTATTTGGCGTAGCAACATCGGCATACCAAATTGAGGGTGCATGGGATGAAGATGGGAAAGGAGAAAATATTTGGGATCATATGGTCCACCAAGATCCATCTCCAATCTCAAACAAAGACACAGGAAATATAGCATGCGACTCCTATCACAAGTATAAAGAAGATGTTGATTTTTTAGAAGATTTGGGAGTAAACTTCTACAGATTTTCAATTTCTTGGTCAAGGTAAATATTATTTTTTAATAAGTTAGAGCCTGTGATAATAAAATGTATATATATATATATATATATATATATATATATATATATATACATTTATATATATATAACAAGCGAGTCTTCTACAGCTGGCGCCGCTTCTCGCATCCTAATTTCCAGCGTTTTCTGTCGAAGCAATCTTCAGTTGTTAGATCTCTGGCGGTCATTGCATCGTCGACATCGTCTCTCCAGGATCGTCTTGGTCTACCTCGTTTTCTTCTAGTTGGCGGAGTCCATTCTTCTATTTTTTTTGGCCATCTATTTTCCGGCATTCTCTGAAGGTGTCCATACCAGTTAAGTCTTTTGGCTTCGATTGTGTCTATTATGTCAAGATCGATTTCCATTTCTCTCCGAATATCTTCGTTTCTCACCCTATCTAGTCTAGTGAGCTGGCAACATCGTCTCCAGTAGTTCATTTCCATGGCCTTAATTTTTGATTTGTTTCTTTGGTTTATTTCCCAGAGTTCGGCGCCATACAGTCCAATACTTTCTATTATTGTTTTATAAATTCTTCTTTTATTTTCTTTTGTTATTTTTTTATTCCATAATAGTCCGTGTAGCTGTCTGGTGGCTGATCTTGCTTGGCCAATCCTGGAATGTATTTCTTCGCTACTTCCTGCTTTTGATGTTATTTGGACTCCCAAGTACTTAAAATTGTCTGTTGGTTTTATAGTTCCCATTTCTATTTGTAGGCTTTCTGGTTGTTCTCCTACAACTAAGTACTCAGTTTTTTGTATATTAATTGTGAGGCCCCATTTGGTGTACTCATCTTCCAGTTTTCTAAGCATGTAGCTTATATCACTCTCGTCTTCAGCTAGAATGGCTTGGTCATCAGCGAAATGTATCGTGTACAATCTATCATCTCCGATTGGGATGCCCATATTGCAGCACTTTCTTCTCCACAGTGAGAGTGCCTCATTTAGATATATTTTGAAGAGTGTAGGTGCTATGCAGCAGCCTTGCTTTAGGCCCTTACTAATAGGAATTTCTCTAGTTAATCTATTTCCAGTTTTAATGTTTGCCGTCATATTTTTGTAGAGCTGTTGTACTGCTTGTATATTTTTTTTGCTTATTCCTTGTTTTTCCATTGCTACCCAAAGCATTGAAAGTGGTACACTATCGTATGCCTTTGTCAGATCTATAAAGACTATATGAGTTGAAAGGTTGTGGGCTAATCTTTTTTCGATAACTTGCTTTAGAGAGAATATACTGTCCATGCAGGATCTGCCTGCACGAAAGCCATTCTGTTCTTCTACATCTGTCATCTCTTTTTCAATTTTATTTTTTATTATTTTTCCATACAGTCTTGAGAGTGAATTTATGACACTTAGCCCCCTATAGTTTGAACAATTCTTTCTATCTCCTTTTTTGTATATGTTGTTAATATGTGCTTTTGTCCACTCCGGTGGTAAGTCGTGTCCATTATAGAATAAGGTGAAGACATACGCCAGTAATTCCCGTAATACTTGTGGGCTATGTTTTAATAATTCATTTGGTATACCTTGTGGTCCGCATGACTTCCCATTTTTTAGAGTTCGTATTGCATTCTCGACTTCCTGTACTGTTATTTCATCGTCTTCACTGAATTCCAGTTCATATGTTGTTGTACTGATGTTCGTGAATTGAGGTCTTGTTTCAGTTAAAAGTTGTGAGTAGTGTTCGATCCAAGATTTTTCTTCTATTAAATCTATTCTACTCGTTTCTTTTCTGTTTGTTCTCAGATTTTTTACCGTTTTCCATGCTTCTCTTGATCTTGTTGACCCTATATATTTGTTGAGTTCTTCGCATTTACTTTCCCAGGAAATATTTTTTGCTTTAGTTACTAAGTTTTTTACTTCTCTGTTTAATCTTGCATATGTTCGTCTATCATCTGGATCATTTGTTTGCAGCCACTTTTGATATGCTTGTTTCTTGTTGTGTACTGCATTGGCGATGTCATTTGTCCACCACAATGGGGTATTCTTTTTGTTCTTTTGGATTGTGCCGAGCGCTTCGTAAGCTGCTTCATTGATTTTATTGATTATCTCTTTATAGGTATTCTGGGCTGAGGAGTAGATCAGGTTTGCCAATTTTAGGCTAAGTCGCAGCTTATATAAGAATGATGTCGAGTCGTTTTGCAGTGCATCAATATTGTATTTAGGTAGATTCGATTCCAGGGGTTTTGATTGAGCTAGTTGGTTGTCATTTTGATGTAGTAGCCGAGGTCGATACTGTAGGTAACATTTTGATCTTACCATATAGTGGTCAGTTCCGCACTCCGGTCCTCTTAGTACTCTTATGTCTTCAACTTGTATATGTGTTTCTTGTTTTGTGATGACATAATCTATAATTGACTTTGTGTTTCTCGTTGGTTGAACCCAGGTGTACTTATGTATGTTTTTATGTTGGTAGAATCCGTTTAGGATTTTCAGAGAGTGCTGTTCACAGAATTCATTTAAGTGTTTCCCATTTTCATTTGTTCTAGCGTCACCATATTTTCCTACGACTTTGTCATTTATTTTTGTTCCTGTCCAAGCGTTAAAATCTTCTAACAGCACAATTTCTTTGCGGCTATTTATATTTTCAATGAGTTCCGATAAAGTTTCGTAGAATATTTGTTTAGCTGATTTTGATGCATTTTCTGACGGAGCATATATTCCAATGATCTCGAGGTCGTGCCCTTTCCACGTAATAGATACTCTAATAATTCTCTCATTGATCTGCTCCCAGCTTTTCAGAATTCCTTTTAAGTCTTTTTTATTCAATATTGATACCCCTGCTTGTGCTCTTTTGTCTTTCTCTACTCCACTATAAATATGTATAAAACCTCCTATGTCTTCACTACCTTGGCCTTTTTTCTTTGTTTCGGTAAGAACCGTGATATCTAATTTTATTTTCTTTACTTCTGCCATGACTTCATCTGACTTGGTTCTCCAACCTTGGATATTCCATGTAATAAAATGTAGATATAATAATTGCGTGTCAGAGATTATATCAATACAAAATATAAAGATTTACAAATACCTGTGATCAAAATTGACTCATAACATTCTAAATAAAATAAATGTTTTCTTAATGTATAAAAAAAGAGTAAGTATACAAAACGAAATTCAGGACACCTAAAAGGTAAACGTGAGGTATATGATATGACGCGGTCGAGGATATGACGCGTTTTCAATATCTTTCAAATTCTGCATGCTCGCGCGGGAAAGGTTTTGGGAAAGGGCAGTACCCACCATTGCCACCAGATTAAGCATGTCTAAGTTAGTACATAGCGATCCGTCGTGGAGGGAGCTTTGGTGTTGTGTACACTTTTGCAGGTAAACACCATAAAAATTTTATCTTACTAATTTCAAAGTTTTGTACCTTGTCTTTTTTTTAATTTTTTGTTGCTTTAGTGTATTCTACGTTTGTTGTACATTTTTTTAAATTTAAGAACATGACTTATTTAGACACATAGCCCTTCTTGTTTACTATTTGCATTTTTTTATTTAAACTGGCGTCGAGTTGGTGTGTAAAAACATGCGGGGCTGCTGGACTGAAGATAATCTTTGTGCTGCTTTTAAGGATATTGCAGACGGCTCTTCAGTTAGTGGTGCAGCTAAAAAATATGATATACTTAAAAAACTCTAAGATTCCGACTCAAAACAAAAAACAGCAATAAAGGTAAGCTAGGACAACCTCCTGCCCTTGGTCTAGATGCAGATCAAAAATTAGTGCTTCATGTCAAGAGATTGGAGGATGCAGGGTACGCGCTAACAAGGGATGCATTTTGCCGAATGGCTTTCAACCTGGCTGAACAAATGGGTTGAGTTTCCTACGGCCATTTCAATGTAGAAAAACGTAAAGCAGGAAGGGAATGGCTTAACGTATTTCTCAAATGGCAGCCATCATTGGCGATTCAAAAGGCCCAAGGAGTGTCTATGACCCGCGCGGATTGTAATGAGTTCGTTACTTTAATAATCCGTAAACATTTTTAACTAAAATTTTAAAATCCCAATCCTCTTAATGATTTTCTGAATTTTAAAATTTAAGTTGGTATTAAACTACAGCGCTGTAAGGCGACATGACCATCCGGCTAGTAATTAGCGCTGATTCTGGTTTTAACTTTTTGAGAAACAACGCTTACCCTTTTCCTCTATTAAAGGAAGGTTTAATAGAGGAAAAGGGTAAGCGACAGAGGCAGGCTAAATTTATTTAAAGAATATTAATTTTGTTGGGGAAGGAAGAATAAGGAGTTTTCAGTTGTTTTGTAGTGCAAAATCGTTGATTTAAGAAGCCACTTCTAGTCGCCTACCCCAAGAAGTTAAATCCAGAGTCAAGGATTTTTCTTTTATTTATTTTTGGGAATTCTGAATTCTGAAAAAAAAAACGCAGGCACTTCGGCCAACTTCTACAGAAAGCCTGATCACAGACTGCAATCATTTCTACGGGTTCAGCAGGTTTTCGGGCATGCGGGGTGTTTCCATTCGCGCCCTCCTCTATTCCTGATTACGCTTACCTACAAGAAACCTTGGAGTCCAACTCTATGGACAAAGACGACGAAAGTGTTAGCTCAGTCTTGGATCCTCAACCCAGCACATCTGGTTCACTGTCACTTAATACTCCAAAGAAGAAGCCTACTGACTCACATTCTCATAAAACTACAAAAGCAACTCCTACGAAACTTCTACAATGCTCCTGCCGTAGCAAAAAAGAAACAGCATGCTCAACTTTTGTTAACGCCTGAAAATATAAAAGCTAAAAAGGCTAAACGAACAATCAAAATTGCAAAGCAGGAGAAGACATTCAAGCTTGGAAAGCCAACAAAAAAGAAGATCTTACTAGAAGAAGAATATTGGCATCATTATCTGGATGCGAGTGGGACGAAAAATCCTCCGATGATGATATCCTCCAATGTGTAGAAAGTGTTAACGTCAGCGACTACGTATTGGTTGAGTTTCCAGGAAAGAGCAAGCCATTATATCATGTGGGCGTAGTCATTAGCA